TGTCGGGATAAGATAACCAAAGATGATGTGGATATGAATACAATTGTATATTTTGATCATAATAATGTGACATAGTGAAGAAGGTAAGGATTCGTATGTTTAAGGAATGTTAAAGACTAATAGAAAAGTTTAAGAATCAATATATCAGCAATCAGTTTATAAGACAGAGAAAGTTAGACTGCTTGAGTTTGGAAATAGAGAAATCGTAACGTGTAGGGATATGAATATAATTTGATAAGTCGAAGAAATTGTTGTTAAGTTATTCAAAGGAAAATGATGCATGTAAGTGAAGTATGGAGGGCTTGTGCCTAGACTAAAAGAATATTATTGGTGTTAAAATTGTTCTTTCTAAGAAGTGATGAATTATGTTAAAGATCTAGAGAGATCTCAGAATGATTAAGAGAATTCGTATCTCACAAAAATCAACACTATCGTAGAGAGACAGAGATTATGATTTTCAATTACAGACTCAGTTTGAATTAGTATATTCCATATCAAATGACCAAATTTGATAAAAGATTGATACGCTTAAATAGTAGAGTCTGGTACTGGAAGATTAAATAAGGAGTTAAGAATGAATCAAATACATTAATACTGAGCTAATTTTGACCGGAAAGAGTGTATATGATTAGAATAACTGTTGCGGACTAACAAGGTTGAGTGATGAAGAATGTAGTTAAAAGATTAAAGATGATGTCAGGGTAAGCTAATAGAGTATGGTGTAAATTTGTAAATGGTTATGTATTTGATTATATAAATGTGATGTAGTGAAAGAGATAAGGATTAATATGTTTGAAGGAAGTTAAGGATATGTGTATTGTGATGCGAACAAGGACTTTACAAAGAATAAGATTTGTGCAAAGAGTGTTAATTATCAAAGTTACGAAGAGGTGATAAAGATCAGTAATCAGAGATAAGCATAAGTGATAGGAAAAGAGCATGGAATAAGGAAATGAAAAGATAAAGTTTAAAGAATCAGATGTGATAAAGGTTATGTTTCTTGGTTAAGCGTATTTAGACAGAGAAATAAAGAATAATTTATATGTATTAAGGAAGTTGGTTATTACTGCAAGGCAATTAAATATTGATAAGAAATTTTATTGATTAATGATTTTGAGTTTTAAGAACTGATACTACTTGTTATATGATAAGTGACATGATAAAGATGGATAAAGGAAAAAGGTAGTTTAAGAACTGAAGGAATGAAAGATTAAGTAAAGGAAACAACATAAGAACATTAGAAAATGTGTTCTTATTGTGTGTGCAGCGAAAATTTGAGGACGAATTTTCTTTAAAGGATGGGAGATTTGTAACATCCCAAAAGTCGGGTCAATGACCAAAATAGAATTTTGGTAAATTTAGTGACCAATTTCAGAAAAGATGGAAAGTTCAGGGATTTAAATGAAAAGTGTTGATGTTGGATTTAATAACAAAGTTTGAAAGTAATAAGGGTATTATGGTTATTTTTCAGGGAAGATTTTTATTTTCCCTTTATAAAGGGTAATAAGCATGTGAGAAATGAGGTAATTTCTTCAGAGCCTTCTTCAATCTTCTTCTTTCTCCTCTCCACCGTGGAGTCTTTTATAAGGTAAGTGGGTCTTCAATTGGTTAATTCTTTCGTTTTAAAGCTTGTTTTTATTCTTGGGATGTTAAGAAAGATTAAGGAAAACTTTAGGTGGCTTAAAACTCAAAGATTAACATGTTATGAGAAATTAAGAAAAATGAGTTTTTAAGTGAATATTTGAAATAGAAGGAGTTAATAGAGTTTGAAGATGAATTTGACTTGTCGATAGTTAAATTAAGGAATATGAAGTATTAGAATTAGATTTAGAACATGTTGGAAATTGAGTGTAATTTTTGAATGCCATATAAAGGATAGGATGTTGAGTTTAAAAAAGTGATTATTGAGTAGAAATGAGTTTAAATGTGTGTATGAAAGTTAGGAATATTAAAGGAAGTGAAAGATGAAGAGTTGAGATGAAAAGAGAGTGAATTTCGTGCTTAAAATGGAATTTCTAGGTTGTGTGCATCGATGCATCTTCAATGTGTATCGATGAACTCTCAAATAAATTAACATCGAATGCAATTAGTGCATCGATACATAAGGAGTGCATCGATGCACTCGTTAAAGGATGCATCGATACACTTGTAGAGTGCATCGATACCTACATTATTTAATAGATGAAAGTAACATTTCTTTTAGTCTAAGAAGTGATAGATTAGAATATATTAATTAGTATATTGATATGTATCAATGAATTACTATGTAGATATATAACGTAATCTTATTCCGAAATAATCCAAATATTAGGATCGAGTCAAAGCAAGCAAGGCTAAGGTGAGTGCGTATTAGTTGATATATTATGATGAATGGAAATAAGACTTGTGACAAGTTTATTTCCTATATTAACATACATATAAGCATGTTATTGATATGAGTATAATTGTGATATATTATTGTATATGTGGTATGATCTGTGTGAATGTATGTTATTGTTATATGATTAAGATATCAATTATGTGATAATGAATGGTATGGATATATGGAAGGTGAAGTAAGCTAAAGTATGTGAACATATGTATATAAGATAAGCCATGTGGATATGATTTATGAGAGTATGAGTGATATGATAAAAACACATGTTTATGTGATATGGCTATGTGAATATATGGTAAACATAATAATGATGCCCATGTTACGTGCCATGAGAGCTAGAGGTATAGTTGGCATGCCAAGAGTCGAAGGTTCTACGTGATCTTTCGGGACATATATGTAATTCTGTGGAACATATATATGGTACTTCGGTACACTTATTTGGTCAATTGTATTATGTGTATGGTTCTTAAGGAGTGGTCATTCGGGACAAATATACAGTGCCCCTAGTGGGAATTTATTCGAGCTGTGGTGACAGCATCAGTGCACAACCTCAATGAACTCACATATCTTTTAGTTCTCCAAGATATACATGGGCCAATAAAGAAATAATATACAGAAACTTAACATGATTGTCATATGTGATTGAACATTTGGATATGAATGTATGAGTTTCATTTATTGCATATATGATATGTTCTATGTGAAATATGTTGATATGATATATGGGAATGTAAGTGAATATAATATAATTATATGATATGTTAGAGGTAATTTCATGAGAAATCTAGTGAACGCTATATATATATATACATAGATAAGGAAGTGTTGAACTATATGATTAATGAGAATTGAGACCAAGCATATATTATATTAATTAAGGAAAAGGTATATAGATAAGTATACAAGGATATTAGATCAGTGGTGCAGGAAGATATATATGTTTAAAATAGCACTGTGAACTAACCTTGCTAAATTAGTAAGGGATATGAAATTTAGTATAAGAATCTAAGAAATCATATGAGAATATCAAAGGAATCAAATAACAATAAGTTATGTGAATGTATGTTTATTAAATGAAGATTTGGTGAGGAATAAATTAAGAGAATATAAGAAATTTAGGATATTAGAATATGTAACAAGAATTTATGGGTGAAATGTTAAATAGAAACATATAGAAATGAGAGATAAGATATGTATGATTGTGATCAAAATTTCAGGATTAAGAATAAGGTAAGTAAACGACTTAAATGAAGACAGTAGAATGTGATATAAGCTAAGTAGTGTAAATTAAAGGATTATTAGAATATGAAATAGTAAAACTCATATGTGATATTATAAGGTTTGTGTATGTATGTATTCATTTTATGAAGTGTACATGAAGATGTATGTTATAATAGAATTAATTATTCATATGCATTGTTAGAAGTTTTAGTTTATATTATATGTTTTATAAGCCTCACTAAGTCATAGACTTAGCGTGTGATTGTTTCACACGTAGGTTATAGAAGCGAGAAGAGAAGCGAAGAGGAGCAAGATAGATCAACATATTCCTTAAGAATATCAGATCAGAAATATATTAAATATATGCATTTTGTTTTATAGAATGTAGTTGGCATGTAGTATAAAGATTTGAATGCTATAAGCTCTGATATGTTTTGTAAAACCCATTTATGTCAATTAATGATAAAATATTCATTTTATCGAATAGTGAGTTGGATGTTTATCCATCTGTAAAGAAAAATGTTTTGAAAAGTCAATGTGACACCTAAAACTAGAATTCGGGCCGGATACGGGTTGAGGGTGTTACATTATTTATATATAATACAAAATAAAACATTTAACCTATGTTTCCCATATCCCACTTTCCCCTTTGTATTTGCTATCCCCTTTGACTTAATATTACGTTTGCATCTTCGTTGTATGATTTGAATATCAGAACAAGTTTGTATTTAATTATGTATGTGTTTTATTTTGGAGTTTAGACAATTATTTAGAATTGAGTTTGAATTTGTGACTGTAGTTTGAATTGTAAATCATATAGACTAATTTTTCAATTTTTTGTGATCGTTTTTTCTATTTTTTTATGAAAACTACGACTGTTCGGTTTTTATCGGGTTCGGGTAGAACATTTCGGATCAGGTTTGGGGATGGGACAAAAACAATCCTAGTTCAATTCCTAAACCCTAGTGGGTGTGGTGTGTGTATTATTCTTCAACACACTTGTCGAGGGGAATGTTTGTGGGTCCTTCTTCAACACCTAAAGAAAGGAAGCTTTGTCAGATCTTTCCCCATCTTTCATTTAAAAAAAAAAGGTGTGGCAGTGACACTGAAACAATCATCACTCTCATGGTCATGGAAATGTGTCTAATATATACATATATACGTATGTATATATATGGTTTTCCAGGAAAAAACATTGAGTTTGTTGCTTTACTTAGGCGAGGGTTACTTTAATACAAATTTACAGTTTGCATGTGGAAGGATCAGATTTTCTTACCTGCCAAACACTCCCTTCTTTTTCGAATATGATGAATATTATTAACAGCGAGAGCAACAATTTGTTTACTAAAATCGAAATGGGAAACTTTATGAACAAATTCAGATTTTTTTTTCCATCCAGGAATCCCTTACAAACTTGAAAATTATAGTACATTTCTTTGTACTTGTGCTCAGTAGTGTTGCCCTTGTGCTGGATTTTGATACAGGAGGAGAATGAATGCCTCATCTCTCCTACACTTTTACCCTAAAAAGATATAGGCTTAGCTTGATAGATTATCTTCATCAGTGAAGCTGACCTTAAAAAAAAAAGCTTCAAATTCCCACCACAGTTGAATAGTAAACAAGATACACTATATAATTAAGAAAGAAGGAGGAGGAGGATCATATAGAGAGAGATGAAGGAAACCCATGTATATCTTCTGTTAGTAAGGAAACCCACCTTAAGAAATCAACAGAGTTATAAAAAAGGAAAACCCAGTAAAATGAAAGAAAGAAGGACCCGTATTAATTAAATTTCGTCTTCTTTACCATGATCCTCCACCTAACATTCCAGTCCAATAACCTGCCGAATCACCTTGCTCTTTATGTTGCTCAATGTCAGTAGCGCTCGAGACTTGCTTTAGATCTTCAAACGGAAACAGAAGCCTCCCGGTTGTCTCTCGAACCCCCTGGAGACCACCGTAGCCGCTTCCAAGCCCATCCAGGGGAGAAATTAAGCGTTGGTTTAAAGTCTTGCATGGGAAAACCAGATGTACAAACTGTATTCGGATCCGGATCCGGAACCGGAACCGGCAAGGGAATGAAAGAATTCAACCCCCTGGAAGAGATTCCAGTTAGCAACTCCAAAGCCGAAAGTTGAGATGTAGAAGGGGATGAAGAAGAAGAAGCATGAATTTGGTTCTTATTATTATTGTTTTCTAAGCTATTTGGAACCTGAACCAATTCAGAGATACTCCCATAGCCTTGACAAGCTGCAGCAGGGAAAGCTAGGTTGAGATCTTTCCCATCTTGGATCTTAGGGTTTTTGGATGATGATAAAGAAGAAGAAGGAATAGAAGAAGAAGATGATGATGATGGTCTCTTGTTCTTTCTTGAACCACCGCCAACGGGAATGTTTCTAAGGGAGCCGCCTTCGGTCCAGTACCTCCGACAAGTCTTGCAAAAGTACCTAGGTTGAGTGAGACTGTAGTTGTTGTAATAGCAGAATTTGGTGTTGGTAGAGTTGCACCTGGGACAGTTCAAAGCTTGTTCCTTTTGAGACCTTAATTTCCTCTCTAAACCTTCTGGTTTTGGACATGTATTCGTCACTATCTCTTCTATTGGTCTCACCACAATCTCCTACAAAAACATTAAAAAAAAAACAACACCACAAATAACAAAACCGAAATCAATAACTTGAAGATCAAAACAAGATAGCAGACAAGCAGGAAAACCAAACCAGTTAACAGGTTGTCTGATTTACACTTTCCAAGATTCTTTCAGAAAAAGAAAATTCAACTGAAAAAAGGGTCTCCTTTGCTTTATCTCATATCGATAAAGCTAAAGTAAAAAAAAAAAACATGTAGAAGAACTGATCAAAAACCAAATCCAAATGAGTGGGGACTTCAACGATAATCCATAGTCAAGAGAACCATCTTTTTCCTTTTTCTTTTGCACAATACGAACATTATCATATTTTGCAAAAGAAAAGCACCCAATAAACATACAATTGACTCTAAATTATTCCTTTGAAAATGCCAAAAAAAAAAGTTGATAAAGAGGTAGTAGATAGGTGATGGATCTCTCTACCTGTGGCCATTGAGCAGTATCCATGGATGAATCCTCAATATAAGAAAGAAAAACCAAATCTTTTTCGTCTAGAAACTGGGTTTGACAAGCAGGGTGAGATGTTTTCTGGCTTTTGAGGGCGTTTCTCTGTATATATGTATAATGTATCACCTCGCAGAGAGAGAGACAGATGGGACGTTTTGTATAATAATATACTATATATAAATAACAACTAAGTGGGAATATTTGTTTCTGCAACTACAATGACTTCCTCGCCCACGGAGGGCGTTGGAAAAAAATTTCTTCATAGGGCTCTACTCAAATTAGTTTTTGATTTGGGGAATCGGTCGTCAAGTACTTATTACGACAAAGCTTTCTCTGTTGCAGCAACTCTTCTCTCTTTCCTTGCTGTTACAGCTCCATAGGTCGTCAAGTACTCTATAGATCGTCGTGTGCTCCTGGAGACCTATGGAGATCGTCATGTGTTCTTGGAGATCTATAATGGTCACTATAACAATCACCCTACTTAAACAAATAATTGTTCGACTACATTATGTGAATTTTTTTTTCTATTGCATTATTCAAACACTTTTGCCTACAATAGGATTATATATATTTATAATTTCATTCTTAAACCAAATACGTATGTATTTTATTTTATTTATTTATTTTTTGTACCTATTGAATAAGGTTTGACTAAATAAGAAGGGAGGAAAAAAAGCAGATGACAAACAGAAAAGTTGATGAATTAATTGCAGGTTGAGGTTAAAAGCTGTGAAAGCTCATAAATCCTTCTATTTCTCCATCTTTCATCTCTATCTTTATCTCTTACGTATTTAATGAAATGATTTTGAGTGAAGAAAGAGGCAAAAATTTATATCAGAAAAACAAAAATATCGGTTCAAAGTCTTATAAATGCAGAAGGCGGTGAAATTTGTCCACGAGAATATGTATGGTAATGGAATTATGACTCCACTTTGGTTGAGGAAGAGTACCAAACTCAAATAATTTAAGCTTACTAATGCTAGCTAGCATGCACGTTGAACTGAGTCATGATCCACATTTAATTTTGGTGCTAATCTTGGTAATTGGTTTGCTAATATGAGTTGTTCGCTCATACGCATTTTTAAACTGCGTAGTTAATGAATCAATTGAGTGACTTAAGTGATTAAAAGAATGTTATTTACTTTTGAAGTCTTGGATTCAAATAACTATATCTCTAAGTTGCGCGTAGGTTGTAAATTACTAAAATAAGATTTTAAACGTATATTACTTTATAATCATCTTATAGTACTATTAAAGAAAACTACACAGTTAATTCTGATTAACTTAGTAAGATTCTACAACAAATTTGTTTACTTGTGACGTCTAAAATATTGTCACTGAAACTGACATTTATGTTACTATTTGTATTTTGTGACGTAAAAGTTGATGTCAAGGCGAACGTCACCCTAAGTGTATTACTAAATGTCAAATGTGACGATTTATGTATTTTCGTCACATATTGTTAGACATATAGTGACGTCAATGAATGTTGTCACATTATAGTTTGTATTCAATGACAATTAATTACGTCATCAAATAATATAAAATGGCATCACTAATTATTCGTAAATATCACCAATAATATAATAATTTTATTGTATAAATGATGAAAACATTATCGTCACTATTTTTATAAATTAAATTAAAGGATAAACCTTTTTGTAAATTATAATAAAGGATAAACTTTTTTTTGTAAATTACAATAAAATAAACCTTATTGTAAATTAAAATAAAGGACCAAATTTTTTACAAATTACAACAAAGGACAAACCTTTTTATAAATCATAATAAAATTCAAAACTTCTTATAATTACAATAATGTTATATACTTTTTTACAACTTATACAATAACAACTCATACTTTTATAAATTAAAATAAATACCCAAAATTATGCAATAATTACATTTTAGTACTTTCCTCTTAAATACCCAAAGCCAATCCCCAAATCTCATCCATGATTTTGCCACTACCTCATGATCGTTGCTCTTCTTGATTATCATTATCGTTGGCCACCATTCTAAAATCTTTTTAAACAAAAAATGTTAGCTAGAAACAAAAAAACATTATATCAAATAGAAAAACACAAACACAAATCAAAACCAAGAAAAATGTAATAAAAAAGAAATTCTATTCGACTTTTGGATGAACTGTAACACCTAGACAATCATTGATAGTTAACGGTCAATGATGATCAAATATCAAAAACAATCAGCGATCACTAACGATTAATGATTAATAGTTAACAATAATTAACAGACGATTAACAATTAATAGTTAATTATAGTTCACAGTTAACAATGGTCAACTCCATTTTGCTTGATTAGAATGGATCATATAACAAATCAAATAATCTATCTAGAACGAGTCTAATACTATTGAATTGGGAGTTGAAAAATTACCATTAAAATCTGAAATATTTCCTGCACCAAAATTGACCATGAATTAGTGGCTCAAAATTAGATTGAATTCCTAATCTGGTAAGGTAATGGTGACACATACTAATAACAATGGTAATCAATTACTATCTAAAATCCTTAAATAACATAATCTACTATCCTTTTATCAATTAAAAACTAAGTATATTAACATGCTTGAAACAGTAGTATCATACATATAATTTATAATTAACTTATTATTTTGTTATTTATATTTTTTCTTCAATTCGAATGTTGTAGGGAAGCGAAGAATTACAACATGCACTAGAATTCAAGGTACCTAACAATAGACAGTGACCACCATGATGTTGATTCACCAATGAAGAAGACCAATGCTGAAATAAAGACTAAGGTAACACCATTCAATCAGATTGACAACATCCTCATTCAAAATAGGGGAACGATGAATCAACGATCATGCAATCAAGGCCTCAAATCCTTTCCAATGATGAACATATCAAACAGGAACCTTCACATGTAAAAATTGGCATCAACGACATTGAACCATAAAGTAACTACCTCCACACACGAAAAACCCCTTTTCAAAATCGATTACTTTTCCCCTAATTTAATAGATTGAATAGAAATAAAAAAGCGAGAAATAAATCTTACCCATATGAATGCTTGATCTGATGAAGCCAAAGAAAATACAACGAAGATAATGATAACATAACCCAAGCAGCGACGACAATGATAATAGAACACAGACAGAGATGACAATAGGGTTAAAAGGCATCGATTTTAGAGTTTCTTCTTGTAACTAAAAAGAGTTATTTTTTATAATATACTTTTCTTCCTTATTTTCCCCAAAATCCAATATTAAACAAATATTAAAAATCCTATTTGTTGTATATTAAAAAATATTTTTTATGATATCGATAAATATGAGTAATTCTTTTATGGACATCATAATGTGATAAATTAGAAATAATGAATCTACTTAAATTGAGCTATTCATTAAGGTTATAAGCTTATCTTTTTTTATTAATTATATGATTATCTTACTATCACTCAACTTTGACATAGTCAACTAAAGATTACTTTTTAATAGTAAAAAGGGGTTTTAAATATACATATAGATATATGTATTAACTGAAAAATATTATACGCATACATATAAATATAGAAAACATAAGTTTGAGAAAACTAGTAGGAGTGATTGAAAGTATGAGCCTAAAAATATCGTCACTAATAAGATTTTGAATTAGGGGCACATCCAAGGTGTCAATAAAAACTTTTCCCACCAATTTTTTATGTTTACTTGGAGCAAAAAATTAAGTGACAGAATCTCACAATATCTTTTAGAATCGTCGTATAAGAGAGAAGAGGTATAACAATGAGTGGTAAGTAATTGATTTTATCATGTTAAATCTATTTTTGTGACAACAATAAAACATCACCTTTTATGTCTTATAAAATATGACAAATTAAATTGTCATGAATAGAATTTATTTTCGACAAATTTAACACATTACTAATTCAAATCAGATCTTCATTATAATAAATCATCACTAATATTTCTATTACATTAGTGACGAATTTATAATGTCACCATTTTGTCTAATTGTCATTGAAAGGTTTCCCACCAATTCTTTTTGGAGGTAAATTTTGGCTCCAAACATATAGTGACGAAAATCAATGACCAATTTTAAAATTGTCATAAAATATATATCATCAATCACTGATTGTGACGAAAATGAAAAACTGTCACAATTACAGTATATTTTGTGACGTTATATGCAACATCACATAGAAATTTTGTCATAAATTGATAAATTTGTTGTAGTATATGAAACAAATCAAGAGATTTCCCACTTTCCATGCTATCCTATGCTAATTTTTTTTGGTAGCTTGATTATTTGAATTTCAACACAATTTAATTATTTTCTTTCCGTTTCTTTTAACCAAATTAATAATTAGTTAACTTGCAAATATGTTCATACATGTAAAATATGAATAGTGTAAAGAAATAAGTTTCTTACTATTCACTTATTTATTTATTATCAATAATAACATATTTATTTTATAATAATATATTTACCAACTGAAAACATTTAGATTTGATTATATTAAAGATGAATAACGTTTCCTTTTGTTTTTATATTGAAAAACTAAAAATGAGATTTCGGATATTATACGATAAAGACTTAATTTTTTTTTGTTTCTGATTTGTAGTACGTACAACCACAACTTAGTACTTAAACTATATTAGATTTGACCTTAATCAATCTGTCTTATCTAAAAGTCTAATATCTATATTTCAAATGAAAATAAAATATAATCCAAACGCTGCCTTAACCCTTTGTATACAGTGATACAGATGACATTAGGTTATGCATATATATGATTGGGTAAAATATACAAATGGTCTCCAATTATAAGATGTTATTTTGTTAAATCTCTTGACTATTAAAAGTTATAAAATATCCTCTAATTATAGGGCGTTGCTTTGTTGAATCCTCCGACTATTAAAAGTTACAAAATGATCACCCGACTATTCATATATTCCAAACTCGTCATTTTTATTAAAAAATTAAAGGAAGTTTGAGATGAACGTTAACTTGTTAACTAAGATATAATAAAATGTGATCCCAAATTTCTTTTAGTTGTATTTTGGGAATCGAGTCTCCACTTACATTATGTCATTGAACTAGTACACTTGAAACATTATGCGG